CAGATTCTGGACTTTATCTATTGAATGGTTTTGATTTTTATTTTGATCTATTTTGAATGGCGTGACACTGCACTAGAGACTGCAGACTGCGCACTACAGACTATGGACTGGGTATAAAACACAGACCTAGGTATAAAACGCGGACTAAGCATTCTGGACTGGGCATAAAACACGCGTGGACTCAGGCATAAAATGGGTCTGTGGACTAAATGCAGCCTCGCAACTACAGTCCATGTTTTTTACTGACCGGTCCTAACTAGTATTACACTACACATGTATAAACGAGAGCAAACCCTCTCGTATGCAGTTGCTTTGCTATCAATTCATTTGTTTTCGCCCCTGCTGAAGGGAGACCAATTTCACGCCTACCTAACAGCTCAGGCATAAAATGCTTTCCCTAGAATTTTTGTTTTTTTATCAATTCATGTGTTTTTGCCCCTGCTGAAGGGAGACCAATTTCACGCCTACCTAACAGCTCAGAAACAAAATGCTGTCCCTAGAATTTTTTTTTTTAACATACCAAGCCTGCTTTGCGATCAATTCATTTGTTTTCACCCCTGCTGAAGGGAGACCAATTTCACGCCTACCTAACAGCTCAGGCACAAAATGCTTTCCCTATAATTTTCCTTTTTTTAACATACCAAGCCTGCTTTGCGATCAATTCATTTGTTTTCGCCCCTGCTGAGGGGAGACCAATTTCACGCCTACCTAACAGCTCAGGCACAAAAATATGCTGTCCCTAGAATTTTTGTTTTGTTTTTTTTTTTTTAACATATCAAGCCTACCAAAACTTGAACGCACTCTTTAATCTACGATTACTACTAGTAGATACAAGTATAGTTCTTGGTATTAAGGTAGTTTTGAGCAGTTGCTATATTCTTGTTCAGAAGCAAATTGTGTATTGGATTACTTGAATGGCTTTGAGAACCAGTATGAACACCATTTTCTAATACCCTGAAATTGTAACTGTTGATTAACTTATTTTACATGTTTGAGGTAAAGCTTCCTTGTCTTAGTTCATCCATTTTTTTTTTTGTTTCACATCATTGTTTAAATATTCATTTTAGATGGGCTTGTAGTAGCCAATGAACTTCAGAACAGAAGATGTTATATGCTGGTTCATCAAAGCAAAAGGCTTCACAGTCCTTGTTGTTTGATTACAAACCATGATGCTGCTCTCTTCCCTGCCATGTTTATAAAAGGAGTAAGTTGTCTTGTCTAGTGAATCAGAAATATATATTCATATTGAGTGAATTTTAGTTTGTTCCTTGGGTTTTTTTCCATTTCCTATGAGGGAATTTCATAGAAATCTGCTGTTCAGTTAAATCAAAATTTGATTTTCATTTTTAAGAAAATACCATGCTAACCAAGGGCCCCAACATAGAACATTCTGGAGACATTCACTATTCCATCACATTACATGGTATGATGTCTACAGTATGTTTATGAAATTGATAAGTTTCCTACCCAGCAGTAGGTGAAGAAGAAGAGGGATGGAGAATTCTAATACAGTGTACAGGCGTAACACAACACCATTTGGATGATGCTTGTGAAATCCCCGGGGGAGGGGTACTGCCATATATGGGCTATATAGGTATGTGCCGCTGTGAAGGGTATGGTTTTCAAGCAGTTTACT